AGCTTTTCTCTGGACAATTGGCATATTGGAACAATAACCAATGACTGGTAGGAATTAAGATGCAAGTAGAAGTGTGTCTAGTCCAGTGTTTCTCAACCTAGGCAACTTGAAGATGTCAGCTCTGGGAGTTGAAGTCCAGACATCTTCAAGTTGCCAAGGTTGAGAAACACTGGACTAGACACACTTCTACTTGCATCTTAATTCCTACCAGTCATTGGTTATTGTTCCAATATGCCAATTGTCCAGAGAAAAGCTATATCTACAAATATTATCATATGCAGATCTATGCAGTTATTTTCTGGGAACATTAAGGTTGACAATGTCATGCATTGGATATTATTTTATTTTTAAAAGCAGAGATGAATTACTTGGGTTATTAAGGTAGATTCCTGATTATACTGCATCATCTTCTGATTCATTCATTGTTAATTGCATTATTTAATGCCTGCTTAACTGAACTGTCTCATTTCTAGATTGGATGATGGAAGCATAGCTCTTATAACTGTAAGGAATACTTCCCGGCAAGAATTCATTAAACATTTGAAAAGATATGCTAGTCTGAAAAACCAGGTAAAATATTACTCTTGCGTTTGCAACCTGACATTATTTGATTTAAATTTTCTTAGCAGCTGCATTCACCAAAAGTTAGAGAAAGGAATAAGAGGAGGAGGAGGAAAAAAAAATCACATTTTAAAAGATAATGTAATAAAACCAGACAAAGATTTAAGGTGGAAAAAAATTCATGATATAAGATTTTAATGCTTTTATAACGAGTCTTAAACTTCCTGTCAGAATACATTAGCCTACCTTTTCCTGATTTTGAAGATCACCAGACTAAGTCAGATTAGCCTATTTCTGCCCATCTGTTGCAGTTTTATTACAAACGGTTCTTATATGCAGGAGGTACTACAGTACAAATCTTCTAAACTGATTTTTTTAAAAATCCCAAATGCTATATTTAAATATATTGTGTGCTGTATTTAGGGCAAGAGAAAGCTTGTTACATTTTGTAGATTGTTTTTTATTTTTATTTTCACTTACACACATATTCAGAGTTAGTCAAGTCCTACACAGTGTATAGCTCTTCCTGGCAATGGAAGTGACAAGATAACCATTGTATTTCTTTCCATGGTTTTTTATTTTGATATCTGAACCAAGTACAGTACTTCAGCTTATCATTCTCACAACAAATCAAAACAGAAGCCTTGATTTGTTCTTGGCTTCTGATTATTGGATTGCTTTATGTAGATAGCTATATTGTGATGAAAACTAGTTTGATATTCCATATTTTTTGAAGTTGCTGCCAGTGATAGGAAGGACCAAGAGACTCCCAAGAGATTATGGTTTACCACAATCATGTAAACATGTTTCAGATAATTGATACAAAATATGATAGCAAACACTTCTACCCAGCATTTGTTCAACACAGTATATTTGGTTTGGATTGCATGGGGGAGAGGTGGGAAGAATCTGAGCCTATTTTCACAATGGGATGTATCATAGTACTTGGTTAATAAGTACCAAGGATCGTTCCTTTATAGTTTGGGAAATATAGATTAGGATTTATGGGTATTCAGCATGGTTCACAATAATGACACAATCCTATCTGCCTGGTATCCAAAGATGAACTAAGGAAGGTCAATCATCCAATGCAGAATTAAGCATATACATGTTTTCCTAAGATGTGTTTGGGTGAGAGTACCATTTAAGTTTTATTTCTTGATTTTACCAATGCTGCAGAATCAACAGATAAAATAAAATCACATAGCAAAATGTAGAATAATTTTTTAAAATTGAAACTTTGTTTTGCAAATTCCATTCTCCAAAGCCCATTCAAATTTTCCTCTAAGAATTCTAAAACGTTCAGCGATATATTTGTCTTCTAGCATTATTTTTCCACTCTGTAATGGAAGCAGACGTACGACAAACCTTTGCAGATATCAAACTGTTCAACTGTTTATGCTTTGTATTTTAGTTCAGCTTTCCTTTTATTGATACTTACATTGTTGAAGAAGTAAAAGTCTGTCCAAGAATTGGAATGAAACATATCCCTGCAGATAATCTAAATTGCATAGATTCTGAAGAAAATACATTTCCCTGGAATATAGATGGAGATTTAGTGGAATGGGCATCAGAAGTTCATATCCGGTAGGATTACATTTTGTCATATTTGAACAAAAAGTGTTGGTAATTCCTTTTAGTTTAGCATAAGTTTTGTATGGTATATTTCCACATTTTACACTGGATAATGAGAAAATTCACATTGAGCCAGTGTTTGGTTCTAATTCTTGCAAAAAGATATTTGCCTTAAGATGATCTAGGAGTAATGGGAAAGTTGGAGTATTTAAGTGGCTTGTCCCTTTAAAGTTTCACAGTAATAATATATTTTTCTGTCCACTGCTGTATGATGGCCTACTTCTCTTCTTGGACCATAGCCAAGTCTTACATTTGACGCAAAGAGCATCTCGTAATGGGAAAACATAATCATGCCTATCTCTACCTGACATTTATATGCCATATTTGCATATAAGCAGATACATCCAAATACAATCTGTAATCTATAGACTTGAATTTTAGTGTTTTATGTTTTTTATTGTCTGATGCCAGTATATCCAGCTGCAAAGTCTACAGGATTAGGCAAGACACTCTGGCATGCCAATCCTTTACGACACACATATTGAAAAGTCAGTTTAGAGTTTAATGTCAGGTAACAAATATCTCAGTGCTATTTTCCAGTCAATAAGTTTTTTAAATCAAACACTATGTGTTTGTGTATATCCTTGCTGGTTGGAATCTGGAGTTATATCGGGAGGTAAGTATATTCTGTAGTTAGACTTTATGTACACAAGTAATCCTCGAATTATGACAATTGAACCCAAACATTCTATTCTTCAGTGAGACATTTCTGCCCCATTTTTACGACCTTTCTTGCCTCATTTGCTAAGTGAATCACTGCAGTTAATAAGTTAGTAACCCGATAGTTGAATGAATCTGGCTTCCCCATTGACTTTGCTTGTCAGGTCACAAAAGGGGATCCAATGACTGTAAAACACAGCAATGGCCATAAGTATGAACCAGTTGCCAAGCAGCTGGATTTTAATCACATGACTATTGGGATGCTGCGAAGGTTGTAATTGTGAAAAACAGTCATGTTACTTTTTTCAGTGCTGTTGTAACTTTAAGTGGTCACTGAATGAACTGTTGGAAGTCAAGCACAACCTGTACTTGCTGCATTCTGTTTAAAGCCTGTCAAAAA